GTGAGAGGAACAGTGTGAGAAGAACAGTGTGAGGAACAGTGAGAGGAACAGTGAGAGGAACGCTGTCTTGTTTCATACTGCACATGGTTGCAATGACAATAAAGCCACTTGACCTGACACTGCTCTGTTTTTTACTCTCACAGAGAAGACGAGATGATCACAGCCGTCTGGACATTAATCAAATGAGTGCCCCCTGACATCAAGGTTTCGTGTGGATCATTTAGTTGATGGTTGGTTTGAAGAAGAACCAAAGATTGTGGAGATCATCTGAGCTTTTAAGAAGCTGTCCTTAATACGTTGGAATCAGACAACCAGGACAATTGAGGTCCTCCTGGATGGGTCCATAAAGAGAAGGGCTCGGTCCATGTCTCCTTTTTCCTTCAGAATGGTGAAATCAGACTTGGAGGATCAGAAGGTCAGTGGATCTGTTGAACCTCCAGCTGTCTCTGTCTATCTCTGTACTTCACTTTGGCAGAGAGGATTTCATGTCAGCAAGAAGTTTCCTTGGTGAAAGAGTCCTGGTGAACATGTCGATACTGTTAAACTGGGTCTAGCTCTCACTTCTATCTCCATTCAGAAGCTCATAAGTAACAATGGTTAAGTTAAAGCCCTCACAGAAAACACCTCCACTTCTGTGATGTCCCAATGAACCACTGCAGTTATAGTCCGATGGGCAGTAAAAGTCAAACCACCAAAATCAAACAAAGGGGGCCTAATATGTGAGTGTAACAGTCTAAAATGATGAAGCTCAGATCAAATAACCGGCTCAGGCTAAATTAAAGTAACACAAGTTTGAATGAAGAGATTATGGTGAGAACCACCCCACCACTCTGACTGTGATGTCAAACCCTCACCTGTGATGATGCTGACATGCGCCCAGCCAAAAAATCTGAGCACGGTGAACAGGACTCTGGTGGGAGGAGTCAGTGGCGGCAGGTTTGGCCAGTCAGCATCTAGACAACCAGGAGAGGAGAGTCCAGCCTCCCAATGCTCAGTCATTAGGGAGGCAGAGTGACAGAGGGCGGGATTAAAGGGTCCAATGTAGGCATAGCCATAACCTTCAAAGTCCCCAAAGTTGGTCAGAGCTAAAATAAAAAGGTCAAAGGTCAAATAAATATCACACAAATAAAAATAAGGAAAATAAAAATATTTCACTTACTCCAGTCTGTAAGCTGATAAACACACTTCAAATAAGCGTGTGTTGATAAGACTGATTAAATGTCTAATGATCCTTTGGAGGTGGTCTAATGTGTTCTGATTGTTCATTCAATTCAATTTTATTTATAAAGCTCCAAATCACAACAACAGTCACCTCAAGGCGCTTTATATTGTACAGTAGATCACACAATAACAGATACAGAGAACAACCCAACAATCACATGACCCCCTATGAGCAAGCACTTTGGCAACAGTGGGAAAGAAAAAACCCCTTTTAACAGGGGGTCTAATAATTGGCTGCCATCTCATCATTGTGTGATTGGTTAACCCTGTAGCACTTTGTTCTAGTGTAACTAACCGTAACTGTAACTGGTAATCTCTTTCTAAATATTTTACTGAACTTTATTTTAAGGTCCTATTGGCTGATTGGATAACAGACCTTTGGAGGCAGAGCAGTCCTCGTCCAGCACTTTGACATCATACCAGTACCCTCTGCTCATACTGGTGTCAGTCCGTAACCTGGACAATGCCAGCGTGACCGCTGCTGTCGGCATCGCCCGGGAAAACAACGGGTCACATGACCACGGACCGACCAAGGCGATCTTGAAGGTTGTTGTCCGAACCTCTTCGATGCATAGCAACCACAGACACGCCCCTAGCAACCATCGAAGCTGCATCCTGACAACCTGCCTGAGATTCAGACAGATTTTTAGAAAGTCAACAAGAACACAAACTCGCCTGAACAAAGATGAAACAAAAAAACTGATTCAGGTTTGTCAAACTACTGTCTGTTAACAAGGAACCTGAAACCTCCACGTAATGAATTACTTAACCTGCAATGTCAGTTCATTTTAAAGACAGGGTTTAAGACTGTGGGCTTACCACCCACACGAGGGGCTGTAGGGTTGGGTGCTTAGATGGTAAATGGTGAATGGATTGGTTCTTATATAGCGCTTCTCTACTCTTTCTGAGCACTCAAAGCGCTGTACACAACTTGTACATTCACCCATTCGCACAAGCACATTTTTCCAAGTGCTTTCTAAGTAACATTCACACACATTCATACTCCGATGGATGTATCGGAGAGCAATTTGGGATCTTGGCCAAGGATATTTGGCTTGCAGACTGAGGACGCCAGGGATCGAACCACCAAGCTTTCGCTCTACCACCTGAGCTACAGCCACCCCAGACAGTCTGATGTACTGGCGCTCCGATTTTCAGCTTCCAAAACTGGCTTGTGGCACATGGAATGTCGCCTTTCTGGTGGGAAAGGCGCCTGAGCTGGTGCATGAGGTTAAGATGTGATGACCTCAGTGCATAGCTCTGGTTCTCAACCAGTTTCCTATAGATGACCTGGACTGTGTTCCCCTCTGGAGTTGCCCTCGATGTGAGGGCACGGACAGAGTGGTACTACATGTATCGCCACGGTTGGCTGCCTTTGCTGTTGGAGTTTTCCCTGGTGGTTCCCTGCGCCTTGTGGTCGTGGAATGAGTCCTAATTTTTGTTTGTGTGTATGAGCCAAATGACCCTACAGAGTTCTCCAGCACCCCATCCAGCCTTCTTAGAGTCACTGGGTGGGGGTAATAACTCTCAATAACTTTCCAATAAGGAACTCTATTGTCCTGCTGGGGGACTGAGAAGGTGCTGAAGGTTACGTTTCTGCAGTGTTGCATTGCCTCTACATTGGCAGACCAGATGGTGGTTGCCCTGTTTAAGCAAGGGGTCTAGAGGGTGTGCTCCAACTACAGAGGGATCACACTCAACAGCTTTCCTGGGAAAGTGTATGCCAGTGTTCTGGAAAAGAGATTTGTAGTCGACCCTCGGATTCAGGAGGAAGGCTGAATCCACTGGTTGTGGAACACTGGACCGGCTCTGGCAGTCTGTAATAAGACTTAATAATGCTGGACATACAACTCAGAGGAGACAAGCATCAGAAATCTGTATGAATCACTTGTTTGTAACACTGAAAACACATTTACACTAAACATACCAGTCAAAACAGAAGAGCACGCTATTGTTTTAAATAGATTTTATAGACCAACATTGCATATGTACACTGATGCTTTTACAGGGTTTGGCTTCCTCTGGACGCAATGCAGTCACATGTCACAGTTACATGGACAGCAGAAGAACATGCAGTCAAATTCAAAGTGGAATCACACTCAGGACTTGCTGTGAGGCAACAGTGCTAACCACTGCGTCACTGTGGACTGTGGGTAGCCAGAATCACATGACCTGTAAGTTTATAGCACCAAATCCACACTTTAAGCTTAAATTTCAAAACTTACATTTAACTACTGATTTTATCTACTGTTCTGATTTGATCTGTTTTGATTTTATATGCTGTTGTTTGTTTGTTAATTAGTTAGTTAGTTTATTTGCTTGTTTTAATCAATTTTAAATCATGCTTTTTATTTGTTTTTGTTTCTAATGTCTCTGTAAAGCACTTTGAATCACCTTGTTGTTGAATTGTGCTATACAAATAAACTTGCCTTGCCTTGCCTTGCCTTATACTACAGCAGAGGTTTTAAATCCATCGACCAGCCTGCCACCTGAATGATGTAACATCTTACCTTTAACATCTGCTCCTTAATCTTGTGTTAGGTATTAAAGTGAATAACAGATTAAGAATTTAGAGGCCTAGGTAGTGCTTCGTTAAAAGATGATGACAATGTAGAAGCTCCAAGGTGATAAGGTCACAGGGACCTGCTGGCCCCTTCACAGAGGACCACGCTCTGTTTTAAGGTGAGAATACTTCAATAAACCCTCAGAAGAAGACCTTCTGTTTGACATCACATGACTTAAGTGTCATTTCCACAGTAACTATGAATGAGATGCAGTTAACCACACGTAGGATGCTTGCTTGTATCAGCGTTTGAAAGCTGACTGTCAAAACCTCTGAAACGACCACATTTCCTCTGACCTCCTGCAGCTGTGACTCTGTGGGGTTTGTGATGAGTCTCCAGGTGATGTCACAGAGATGCTTCTCTCTGGGGATAATTAATCTGAAGGTAGGTCTGAGTCCACATTAGAGACTGTGATGACTTGAAGCTGAACACTCAAACCACCAGGCACTGGAAACCTTCAACCTCCTAAGGGACTAGGACCACCTGAGTAGGACCACTATGAACCATGACCCCCTTCAGGACTTGAGCCTCAGTGAACCGGCTTTCTGAAACAGGACCCTCAGCTGTGGCTCATTTGTGACTGGTTCTCCTCAGAGACCATAAATCCTAAAGTTTGGACCCTTAGGTACAGCAACTGGAGAGCAGGTGGAGGCTTTCACTGGTTTGTCTGGCTGCCACCAGAGGCTGTCCAGAGACATGCACGTTGTGCAATAACACGATGATGGTGTGTGCAAATGTGTTGCCTCAGTCATGGCATCAGGAGAGATAGAGCAGAGTATGTAACTATGACCACACATGCTCAGGTTGAACCACAGAGGGCACCCGCTGACACCTTTAATCCAATCATGGTAACCATGGAAACACACACACACCTGAGAGGTCAAGACTTGATCTGCAGCTCTCCGATTGGCTGGTTTTAAAGAAGATCAAGCTCATTAACAGATTTACTTAAATCACTCAGGTCCCGTGCTCCCTATATTCAGGCAAAATTTAACTTTATGTATACAGCTCGGGTTTACAGCAGCAGTCAAAGAGCCTACAATATTAGAGGGGCAATCGAAGGTGGGAAGGAAGAACTCCCTTTTAACTGGGAGAGAGCTCCAACGGATCGGAAATCAGAGAGGACAAAACACAACCTGTCTGCACACGCAGAGTCTAAGACTGTCTGAGCATCAGAAGCTCAAATATCAATACAATCAATCGAACGATCAATGATCTGTTTACCTTTATCTCAGAGCTTCATCTGTCCAAAGGAAAACCAAGAAGATGATGTCAGGCTGAACGAGGGAGGACCAGAGACCAGGAGGGAGAGTGTCAACGTCGAGCTACATCCACTTACAGTGGAGAGAGAGAATCATGGTCGAGTTACATCCACTTACAGTGGAGAGAGTGAATCATGGTCGAGCTACATCCACTTACAGTGGAGAGAGAGAGAATCATGGTCGAGCTACATCCACTCACAGTGGAGAGAGAGA